ATCCTAAAATTAGGAGCTTAAACCACCCATAAATAAATCCATAAAAAGATGAAGAAGATGAGTATTGCGTATCCTATTCAATTTGTAATAAACTTCAATTTATAATATTTTTACGCAATCCACGAAATTTTCTATTAAAAATAAATTTTATACAAAAATAAAATATGAATAGAGCACTTATGCATTTGTGAGATGCACAAAAATTTGCCAAAACATTAGGTATGTAAGTTTTCATGATTGACAATATACATGGTAAAGCACTTATTATGTTTGTCCCAACAAGACTTGTGCCACAGTGTATATATATATATATATATATATATATATATATATATATATATATATATATATATATATATATATATATATATATATATATATATATATATATATATATATATATATATATATATATATATATATATATATATATATATATATATATATATATATATATATATATATATATATATAGCTTGTTCTTTTTGATATATTGATATAACTTTTGATACATTTAAATACTTAAAATTTAAAACCACAAATAAATTTAAAATCGGCACAACATATCAAACGTCACCTATAATATGACTATATCATAAATACATGGATTGAAGTCAAATTGGTTAGCAAAGGAAAAATTTAACAGTAAGATAGATGAGAAAAAATAATGATAATTAAAGAGAGAATTCTCTTCAACTATAAAAACTCCATCTATATTTTTTTCTCCTAAATATTTTCATTTTCATCAATTTTTTATTCACTATCATTTTCATTGATTCACTCTTCTACCTCTCCCTATACTTCCTTAGATGACTTCCTTTTCTCACGCTGAATACCCAATAATGTGGATAACAACATACTTCTCAAACTAATTGCATTACAACTTTTAGTCTTTAGGTTATCAAAAGTATTTTCAGCAAATCCATCCTTAGATTGAGTAGCCATTTGTTTTGAAATTTTCTTAGCTTGAGTTTTTAGATTTATAATTTAGGCTTCCTTGTTGGACGTCTCTTGATTAACCTTGATCGCTTGATTTTTTTTGGTCATATTTGTGAATTAAGTGAGGGTCTATTCAATATGAGAAGGATTCCTTAGTTGTTAAGTATGAGTGTAGTGATGTTTTTGTGCTCCTTGATTTGAACATTTTATTTTATCATTACCCCATTTTAAATGAGGTTGGACTTTCCAACCCGAATTTTATATTTTAGAGTAGGAATGACCACTCTGATAGTTACCCATAAAGTAGGTTTCCTTTTCTAATATATGTAGTGTTATATTTGTTTGGGGTCTTAAAATAGGGCACCTTCGCCTAACAAAAGTGCCACCTAGGCGGAATCTAGGGGACTCACGCATAAGAACCCATGATGTGGGGTCAAGGAGGAGAGAACCCATCGTGTGGGAATCGAACCTAGGACCATTATTTTTATCACAGCGGTCTTTTGGAAAACTTATTGTGATAGAACACGCGCTTTCGAGTTTATTACAACGGTTATTAGACCGTAATTGTAAGTATCATATATACAACGACAATCTACATAACAACGTCTGTGCCCGCATGATTATATATCGTTTCCAACCGTTGTTAAATGGTTTTTCCGTAGTAGTGTGACCATGTCAGCATTAGAGTTCAAGGACGTTATATCTCAGACATGAATGAGTTTATCTTTCTTACCCCTTATTATTTAGGTTTGAAGAACGGAAATACAATACTTATACCCTGGGAAGAAGAGGGATTACTTCACTTTCCATACTGTCACCCTCAGTCGGTGTATTTTTCTAGAAAGAAGAAAATAGGAAAGAAGAAGGAAATAAAGGGTTTTTCCGAAACAATATATTGGGAACCTAATAGCGCAGGCCAAACATCCACTCAATGGGGTAACAACCACAAGAAGCAGAAAGGTCTCTATTACTGAAAGACGTGTGTAAGTGAAAAAAGACCAGATTAATTTTCCCAAAGAATACCACAATGAGTTGCATTAAATGCCAATCATGCTCTTTTTTCCCCTAAAATAATCAAGCTTTCATGATTGATTATTGTTTCGACATCTCATGGCCCAATCATAATAAATTTTAGATACCGCGCTACCGGTTAGTTATCTAAGGGACGTTTTGCTAGAGATGAACACTTGCCTCAAGTTGAAGGACTCGCCTCTTGTTAAAAAGAAGTAGTCTTCAACTGAGGGACTCGCTTCTAATCAGAAAAGATAGCCTTCAACATAGGGATCTCCCCAGACTGAGGGACTCGCTTCTTAAAAGAAAAGATAACCTTCAGTTGAAGGTCTCTCCCAAATCCAATGGACTCTCCTCTCATTAAAAAGAATTATCCTTTAGCTAAGGGCCCATCTTCTTATAAAAAATATGGCCTTCGGTTGAGGGACTTGCCCCATACTGAAGGACTCTCTTCTTATAAAAAAAGAAGTAGCCTTTAGCCGAGGGACTCGCCTCAAGCCGAGAGGCTCGCTTTTTATAAGAAAAGACCACCCTCAATGGAGGGACTCACCCTAATGTAAGGGACGTACCTCATAAATAAAAGAAACTTTGAAAGAATTTCGCCATTTTACAAAGCTCTCGTGCTTGAGGGGTTGTGTAGTGTTATATTTGTAAAATTCCAAAACAAGGGCGACTCTAGCATTCTCGCCTAAGGGTGATGTCGCTTGAGCAAGATCCTCACAAAATATGGGGGGTTCACCCTTAGAACTGATGATGTGTATAATAATAATGTCTCCCATTTGTTAGTGGAGAAAAAGTCTACCACGATTCCCCAGAGAATAGGTGGTCAAGCAATATCCCCTAGTCATGAGGGATGGTTTGTCACCCCTATGGGTTCCTTAAACCTTACGCCCAAAAGGCCTCTTTAAATACTTCTCCCCTAGCTAGAGAAAGAGATATCCTAATTTCATTCGCTTATACCTAAGCATCCAAATGCATATATAGAGTTTTTCACCTCATGTGAGCATGTCCTCTAAACCACCATAAACACCGACGGACAGGGCTTCTCGCCACCATGGGAAAGGCCTAACCACCATAATTTTTTATACATCTACTAAGACCTCTGAGAGCCCATGCCCTTGCATGGGTAACATACACGCCTGTACTTTTTGACTAGTGCATTATACTTGAAAAAACTCAAGTTCCACATTGGTTAAAGATAGAGTCTTATAAGGGTTTATATAGAGTGACAACCTTCACCTTACAGGCCGATTTGGTAGGGATAATTTTGGTCAAACTCCAATTCTAACATGTTATCACGAGCCTATTAATTTGGGTCACCAATCGTTTGTATACGTACCAAGCCCAACATTGTAAGGCATATGAGGGTATATTAAAAAAAACTATGTCTCATATATCGACAATTAGGTTCGCCCGTCGTTTATATCCACACACAAATCCCATTAGTGTTAGGCGTGAGAGAGTGTATTGGAAAAAATCTCAAGTCTTATATTGGCTAAAGATAGAATCTAATAAATATTTATATAGAGTGGCTACTCTCATCTTAAAAGCTGATTTTTTAGGGATGAGGTATATCAAACTCAAATTTTAATAGGCATATACTTATTTATAAGGGTACACTTATTCTTCAATTCACGAGTTCATAATTATTAAATAATTTGACATCAATTTTAACCTTTTTTCGCACATAGAATCATTCTTCAATTCAAGAGTTTATATTTATTAAATGCTTTGACATGTCAACCTCCTCCCACACATAATAAAGGCTTATATAGAGTGATACTTCATACCCTACATACAAGTTACTTTGTGTTTTCTTAGTCATGATTCATTACTAGAAAAACTCTGTTTTTCTGCAGATTTACCTACGGGTTTTGACAAAGTTTCCGCAGGAAACGTGTTACCTGCGATTATTCCTGCTATTTTTTGTTTCTAGCTAAAACTTTCGTGGGTAATTAATTTAGCAGGTAAAGTCGCAGGAAAATGTCACAATATATATTATTATAAATCCAAAATCGCATGTAAAGTCTCAGGAATTTCTGCGAACTTTGCTGCTACCTAAATTTTCGTAGGAACTAATGCTTCACAATATAAATTCGCTGGTAAAATCGCAGGTGTGTCTGCGGATAAATTTGCACAGAAAAATCTGCAGGTAATTCCTGTTTTTCCGATGGGGTAAAATGCAACACAGGAGAGCTTCAAGAGAAAATCATGGAATATCAACTTCCGGTGGTATACTCAGGGGATAATTTATTAATATTATTGGGAGTTTGTCTTCATTAAGATTAGAGCTTGCATCTACTTTCAGGTTTAATTGCATGTAATCATGCTTATTATCGTGTATTTTTTAATGTAAATATTGTTATTCGATATCTTTTAATTAAATAGAAGAATACTTTATACACGTTTTGTTCCTTAAGATTCAAGCTATCTCACATTTTTAAAGAGAAAAATGTTTATGCAAATAGATTATCCAATGTAATTTTTTTTGTTTATTATAAAATTTGATGAGATTTACAATCTATTTATATTTCTAAAATTTTTTTGAGGGATACATTAACCTTATTCAACTATCATTTTTGCTAGTTATTTGATTAATCATATTTTATGTTCCATATATTCGGTTTATTTTTCATTTTTTTATTCAATAACTTTTTTTTATTAAAAAAATGTATGTCGTAAAAACAGGTATTGAATAGTATTATTCTCATCATGTCAAAACAAAACAAAGATGGATCCTTGAGAAAAGAAAGTAAAGCGTAATCTCTCACCATAGAAGAAAGAGAAATATTTGAAAATTTTCAATGGCAAGAATTTCAATGGCGATCGCACTCTAATATATGTAAATTATATTTGAGAGAATCCATTCCCAAACATGTTTGAGCCTCTCATTACAACTTTACAAACAAGATAATTAAATGACAAATTACGCCTAATGAGTATGATTAAAATGAGTGATTTGAATTGTAATATAACTGTGAAAAAATAACCAAAAATTAGTTATAGAAAAATAGATGAGTGGTAAATCAACAACTTAGTCCTTAGGATGATCACTTGCAATTTGGAAGAGGAGATCCACACAAGCACTTGTTATGAATGAATGAAGAAACATCAAAAGTGTTGAAATATCCAACCTTTGGAATCTCACCACATAACCTATTATAGCTCACATTCAAAAACGTTACATTCTCCATTGCCATAGGAAAATTCCCATAGATCTTATTGTGACTCACATCCAAAGTTGCTATGGTTTGAGACAAGTGAACTCTTCCAAAATCAAAAGCAAAATGGTTCCCCGAAATGTCTACTACCAATGTCTTTTTATTGGAACCAAAAAGCATAGAAGCATCACCTTCAAACTTATTATAAGCCAACTCTAGAAGGTAAATATCCAACATGGCCAATGAAATAGGTAGTTTCCCCGAGAGCTTGTTGAAAGAAAGATCTAAAGAAGCCACGTTGCTGTTATTGAAGTAACCATACGTTGAAGGGATTGAACCTGTTAACATGTTGTTGTTAAAGAGAACACCAGAAAGACTAGGTAGTTTGTATAGTGAAGGAGGGAGTGTCCCAAAGAGGTTATTGTGCGACAGATCCAAGTTAACTAGGTTTGTAAATTGGTCTGTGAAATTTGGTATTGGTCCTGTTACGGCGGTTGAGCTGATTGTGAGGTATTTGAGCTTGGTGAGTTTGGTTATAGACTGTGGAATTGGTCCAGTGAGATTTGGTAGATCAAAGATAAATAATGCCTCTAAGAAAGGTATGTTACCTATAGATGGAGGAAACTGAGAAGAAAGGTTTGTGTCGTTTGAGATACTGAGATAACCGACACGTTCGTTGATTAAGGCGGAACAACCAACGCCGTACCAGTTGAAGTTACAACAATCAGTGTGTGGTTTCCATGAGGAGAGAAGAGATGGATTGTTGAATTCATTTTTGATTTGGAGGAGGATTCTTTCATCTTCTGGATGGCATCTTTTTGAGAGAGAGGGAGAAGTTTGAGAGAGGAATATGAATATGAAAAGAAGAAACAAGCTAGTAAGAGTGGTGGACATTGATTGGTATATGGGTTTTTGTTTGTTGTTTGGAGATTGAGATGAGAGAAATGGATGAGGGGTTTGTTGGTTTATATGCAGTTTGGATTTGGATATATGTGAGATGATAATGGTTTTATGGCTATTGGTTTTGGTTTGCAAGTTGACATGTCACTATGAGAGGTCTAGAAAAGTAGTAGTCAAAACAAGTCAGCTCATTATATCTTTCCACCTTCTTCAGTTTGCAGTTTGAGCGTGATGGAGTCAAAGTTTATACAACTTGCTAAAATATAAAATAAATAAATAGGCAAAGTTTATACATATCAATTTAAGTAATATTAGTTTGTTAGCATAGTTGTTCTACGAGTATAAATGTGTCTCTTTTATTCTATGTGATAAATCAAAGTTGAAGAAAAACTTTGTGTTATGTTATGGAATTAGATGATGATGGGAGAATTTGAATTTATGGTGTATTGTAATGGTTTAAGGTTTTTGATGTGGTGAATAGGAGTATGATATGCAAGATTAACATTGTAACACTCAAGTCAATTAGAGATTAATAAATAAAATTTGAATAGAGAAAGATTTGAATACATGGAAAATGGTGTGATCCTTATTTAAATAGAATAGTTAGTTAAAAACTAAACGCGCGTGGGGGCATGAAATGCGGTTAGCCATCGAGTCGATCTTGAAGACTAGGCTAAGCTTTGGGAGAAAGTTCTTTTGCTTTGGTGGGAAAATGAAGTTCATCTGTTATGCGCCTTACCATTCGTGTTTCATCGTTACTGTGAAGAAGATATCCGTTGTCAATCATAGTTTGGTTTTGATGAAGACAAATGACTATATTAGAAGAAAGATCAAAGAAGAAAAAGATTAGAATCAAATAATCAAGTTTGCATAAGTTTTGGATTTCAATGATATTGGATCATAGACTAAGATAATGTGCAATTCATTTGTTATAAGGTTTATGTGCTCAAGAATTAATCATAAACTTTTAAGCATGCAGTGTTTCAAAATTGCATATTACCTTAGAAATCATTTAATATGTTAATTACATGTAAATCTTAATCTTTTTCATAAGAATGTTTAATACGCATGTTTTTAACAACCAAAGATTTGACCCAGTGGTTTAGTGAGGCTATATTGGTTCAATCCTTGAGTTAGGCTATTTTAACTTAAAATTTTTGGCTCAATCCTTAAGTTTGTCAATTTTAACTTAAAATTTTTTCTAAGTATTTAACTAGTTAATCAATTAACCTCCCTTGTTTGGTCAATTAACTATGTCTTTGCTTGAAACAAAAATTGCATTCTTCATATGATACTCGAGTAACCTATTTGGTTAATCAATTCATCATTCCATCTTTGAACTAGGTTAATGGATTAACCATTCTGGGTAAATGGATTAACCTTTTTTTTTTCACATATTTTTGAACGTTAAAACAAGGATAATCAATTACCCTATGAATGTCAATCGGTTAACCTATGTATCTTTTGGGGAAAAAATATGATTCAACATGATACATTTTCATCACATTCTTTCATAAAACATTTTCTTTAATCATTGCATAACTATTCTTATTACTTTCAAATATTGTCATGATTTTCAAAGGATTTATTTGTGACTATAAAATGCACAATTTTTCATATTGCATGACACCTTCTTCATGAACATTTTTCCATCTTTTTCAAGTGTCAGTAAAATTTGACAGAAACTTTTTCCTGCATAATTTTTATTCATATGTGAAAAATTTTAGAGAAATACTTGAGCACTTAAATATTTATATCATCTTGATTAGTTCATTGAAGGAGAAGGTTGAATTTTCATATATCATAAAAGCAACAAAACCTCAAAGTTTATCAAAGTTGCTACAAAGTCTATCTACAATATTTTTCATGCAAATTATTGTATTTTTTACTAAGTGTGTGGTGATTCCTTATCTGTAAGAAAGTGTTGTACTTATTACAGGTTGTTACAAATAGGAAGGATTTTTTTTCTATTTTTTTGGAAAATTCCTTTGAATCAGGGTGAGTCAAAGTTCACCATAGTAGTTGGTGTTATTGAAAATCAAGAAAGTGGTTTGCTTCTTTGTTATTGCTAGAAGATTGTAGAAGAAGTCTTGGTGTGAGGCTTGTACAAAAATATAAAAATACATGGTTTTATGCAGCTTGTGCATCATCCCTTATTTGTTCTCTTTCACAAACTCAAGAGGTTGTAACACATAAAATTCTTTTTGTAATGGATCATGCAGAAATGCTGACCTTAAATTTAAATGTATCATATGCCAATTCCTATTTACAACTATAACAGTAACCAACCTTATGGTTTCATATCTAGATACAGGTGGAAACACTTCAAAGTAGTCTAAACCAGGCTTTGTAGGAATCCTCTAGCTACTAACCATGATTTATGTTTGGCAACTAAACCATTTGGCTTCAAATTTATTTTGAAAACCCACTCACACCGATGAATTTCTTGTCCTGAGGTAGAATAATCATTTCTCATGTCTTGTTTCTTTCAATGGCCTTAAGATCTTCCTTCATGGCATTCACTCACGCCTTCTTATTGAGAGCCTCAATGGTGCTGACAGGTTCAAATTCCACCATTATGACCCTCTGTATGACTTCTCTTTCATAATCAATCTTAATATCTTGCAACAATTCAAAATTTGTAAGTCTTCTTGGTATTTGTCTAACTTTCTATGGCCTCTAGACACCTTCAGAAGCAAGAACACCTTCATAAGCTCCACCTTTAGAAGTTCCACCTTCAGAGGCTGGATCACCTTCAGAAGTTCCACCTTCAGAGGCTAGATCACCTTCAAAAGCTACACCTTCAGAAGTTCCACTTTCAGAGACTGAATCACGTTCAAAGTCATATTCACCATCAAAGTCAAAGTCATTTTTAAAGTCGTCTTTTGGGTCAGAATCACCTTTAGAGTCATACTCACTTTTAGAGTCAGAGTCATCTTCGAATTCAGACTCTTCTTTTGAGTTAGAATCAACTTTAGAGATAGGATCTCCTTTAGAGCCAGAATCTCATTCAGAGGCAGAATCAAACTCTAGTGTTGACATTGCACTAGAGTTGGATTGAGACTTGCTTTAATCCCATGTTTCTTATTCTTTCACTATGACATCTCTATTGACTTAAAAAATTTTGGCGATTGCGTAATAGAGCTTATAATCACATGTATTATGGTAGCCTATAAGCAACATGACTTTGCTTCTGTCATCCAATTTCCTTCTGGTAGCATTTGGTATATGTTTATAACATACCGAACCAAACACCTTAAAATTAGTGACACTTTGCTTTCTTCCAGTTCACTTCTCAAAAGGAGATACTTCCTTTAACTTCATTGTTGGACATCTGTTGAGCACATATATTGATGTGGAAATTGCTTCATCCCTCAATTGCTTAGGCAGATTCTTCTCCTTCAGCATGCTTCTTGTCATGTCAAGCAAATTTTTATTTTTCCTTTTAGCAAGACCATTATGATGTTGGAGTGTATGGAGCAGTCACCTCATGCTCAATACCATGTTCCTCACAGAATTTCTTGAACTTTGTTGAGTTGAACTCACCTCTACCATCAGTTCTGAGGATCTTTAACCTTTAACCACTTTGATTTTCAACCTTCACTTTGAACTTCTAGAACTCAGCAAACACCCCGTGTTAGAACTTAATGAGTGTTACCCATGTCATTCTTGTGAACTTATCCACAAAGTATTTGTTCCCTCCAAGTGAATGGATCACATACATCATAATGCACCACACCCAAAGCATGAGTTGCTTTTGGAGGCATTTTTTATGAGAATGGAAATCTGGGTTGCTTGTCTCTCATGTATATATCACATGATTTCTCTAGTGGCATAATTTTAGGAATTCCATGTACTAGATTCTTTGAACTCATATTCCCTAAGCTTCTATAGTTCAGATGCCCTATCTTGAATATTATATTTCTTCACAGTTCATAATGCATAATCAGCTTTTGATTACAATCATACAACTTCATAAGATTGTCCTTCATGGTTATTAAAAATCCTTTATCAATAAGCTGATATACACTCATCAAGTTACTATTCATGCCAGGAACATACCATGCATCCTTGATCAGTACAGTTTTTCCATTGTTCAACTTACCTCTCAGATTTCCCATTCCTCTAGCATTGACATACTCATCATCATCATGTCTGGTCTTGGTCCTTTTGCTAGAGTCAAAATCAATCGGTCATTACTTGTTTCCAGTTAAGTGATTTAAGTTGCCACTGTCCATATACCACTAGTCTACCATTGATCCACCTATATTTTTAGATGCCATTAATAGCACAGGTTCATCATCAGAATTTTCTCTGGCTATGTTGGCTTCTTCACCCTTGTTAACCTTGTTTGACCAGCAATCAGCAGCAAAATGGCCAAACTTGTTGCAACTGTACTGTTGAACCTTTCTTTTGCCAAACTTATCATTTCCCTTCTAAAAATCCAAATATTTCTTATCAGAATTAGAGAGTTCTGACTTCTGAACACCGCCACCATATTTCTTCTTGTTCTCTAGCCATGGTTGCTCGTATTTCTTCTTGCCAGAAGAAGCTTTCAGAGCCTATTCTAACTTTTTCAGATTTTCTTTCAGTCAAGCGCGACTCTTATGCCTCTAAACTACTCTGAAGCTCTTCAATTATCATGGTGTTTATGCCTTTAGAGTGTTATATGGCCACAAATATGTAATCAAATTAAGGATTACGTGATCTCAATATGTTTTCAATGATTACTTGTTCAGAGAGCATTTATCCATAAGACTTCATCACATTGGTGAGCACAATCACTCTGGAGATGTAATTAGTCACCTTCTCAATATTCTTCATGTTGAGATTCTTATATTGCTTGCGTAGGGTCTGCAACTTGACCTTCTTCTCTGATGCGTCACCACCATAGAACCCCAATAGTATATCCCACTTTCCCTTCGTCGTCGTCCAATCAACAATTTTCTCAAACACTTTTGTATCCACACACGGATAAATATATAACAATGTCT